GTTACACACCTGCATGTGTAAACTTTCCCTGTCCCATAACGCAAGCTTCAACACTCCCCTGTACATCCAGAAATAGGCAAGGCAGGGCAGGTGAGGTCACGCTTGCAGCGGCTGCCTGCAAGCATTGGAACATTCAATGTCAGCAGGCTGCCAAAAAATGGGGCTTTTCATTGCGCGTCTGTGAACCAAGATGCTGATTCTACTTTCTCTACGGTATATTTTTTCCATTTTCAGGCAGTTCTTGGACTTGCATAAATAGATCCTACAAAACTAACTCTCAGATTTGCCTCTTTTGTTTCCTATTATGTACAGATTCCTACTTTGAAGTTCTATAGGACCGAGATTATTAATACAGCAAACTTCCCATTGGACTCGGGTTTAGTGGAACAGTCCTGATTTGGGACCTATGAGAAACACGGCTTATACAGCTTACCGTGAGCATTTACTGACCATGTGACAGCATTTTGGTCAAACAGCATGCACATGCTGCCCTAGTTGGCCCATCTAGTCTGCCCAATTTTCTAAATACTTTAATTAGTCCGTGGCCTTATCTTATAGTTAGGATAGCCTTATGCCTATCCCACGCATGCTTAAACTCCTTTACTGTGTTAACCTCTACCACTTCAGCTGGAAGGTTATTCCATGCATCCACTACCCTCTCAGTAAAGTAATACTTCCTGATATTATTTTTAAACCTTTGCCCCTCTAATTTAAGACTATGTCCTCTTGTTGTGGTAGTTTTTCTTCTTTTAAATAAAGTCTCCTCCTTTACTGTGTTGGTTCCCTTTATGTATTTCAATGTTCCTATCATGTTTGCCTTTCTTGGACAGATGACTTGCCCCATTTTTTGGGCACAGCTACCACTGGTGTCAGATATTTCAAGCTTTGGATCACTGGCACGCCCCCACTCAGGAATTCTGTTATCTCTATTTCACGCCTTCCAGATGTTGGACATATAAAAAATATACATAATTTTACAAACATTGAAGATCTCACACATCTTTCTTAAGAAAGTAGATTATTCTGGCATTTGGGTCACATTACCCTTTGTTGTTGTTACCAGCAGAGAAAGTGACAGTCTGCTATATCTTTATTGGAGATTTCCTCTTGGACTTATTGGGACTTAGAATTATATGTGATTTATTTATTATCCATTTATTTTCTGTTTTCTGTATTATTTATTTACTTAAATCTTTTTTGTTACATCTTATTTTGACACTTTTACTAGGTCTTCTTAGCTCCTGGACTTTTCCATTATAGTAATATAGTGGTATTATTTTATATAAAAAATATACCCTACGTTTTGATTCCATGACTTTGCTGTGATTTGTAGGTATAACTATGCTGTTCCACTAAATGTTAATACAGATATTGCAATTCCTTAATCTTTACATAGAAATGTAAGATCATTTATTATACACACACTGCAGACTGGAGTTGGCCACTCTTATTTTGATGCATTTTAAAAATATATATATATTAAAGGAATACTCCAAACAAAAATGTTCCTTTGCTTTTAAGAACACTACCTGTCCTCCTCCTGTGAAGTCATTAAGGCTGATTACTTTTTGTCTAATCAGATACTTCTCATAGAACATCATTGAGAACACACATGGAATGCAGGACTTGTGATAGAGAAGCTTTGGGCACTCGCTCAGTATCTGATGTCAGTATACTTTGCATGGTCTTTACGGCACATGCTATGCTTTTGTAAAAATATATATAATTGCAAAATGAAAAAAATAAAGAAATAAAAAAAAAAAAACACTCACAGCATGTAAGACTTCTTAAACTGAAATAAAATAATTTTACTAACAAAAAAAAAAAAAAAAAATGTAATCGATTTCTGTTGGAAACCCCAGTGGCTGTCTCTCTGACAGCCAATAGAGACGATGAAATTGGAAAATATAAACAGCGCCTTTCCATTAAGTGAGTATGGCGTTTAGACTGTCCCTTTAAACAAGAAAACCAATATTGACATATGAAGATCTGCCTGCTTACCAATAAAATATACGTGGTATGCCAAATAACGTTACATTACATTTTATGAGTTGTTGGTTTTTTATTTGTTTGTTTATTGGGAAATATTTCCAAATCAGTACTTTTCCCCCCTAAATTTAGCAAATTGATTTTTAATTCACCACCATTATTTGTTAAGTGAATTAATCCATTTTATTGCGACAATGCCTGTTACAAGCATGAGAAAAATGTGGCGTGCAGCCTTGCTTTTGTTGAAGTAGTGTGTTTATCTGTCACATTTAAAGACAAGTTTGCAAGTACTTTACCTATTGTTCGCATTTAAAAAAAATATTTCAGATTAGTTATTAGTTTTATTATCCGAGTTTTTCTTTTCTGATAATGCTGTGTTTAACTGTCATATACGTACATACATAGTTCCAGATAAACTACTGCCCTTTGGCTGTTTTGTTTGTCTTACAATAGTAGCATAATTAGTTTAATGCAATCCTGCGGCAGAACAATAATTAACAGATAAGAGATGAAGAGATGAAGAGGGAGGGGAAAATAGCAACTTTGTTAAAAAAATATTCCTGATTGCACTAACAATTATACTATGAAACATGTTGTTTTGGTCTCAGTAGGGAAGATGCTCTGTAGAGACAAATTTTACGGATACGTAGGTCTCTTCTTCATTAACGAACGTTCTGCATTGAAAGGGAAGCTAAAATCATCCTCATTTCAATGAAGTGGTCTGAGTGCAAGTGTTTTTAGAAACTGTGATGTTTACATTGCAGGGTTAAATTCAACTCCAGTGACCTTCTTCCTGGCAGACAGACTATGGGCATAGACTCTATGCAGATGTCTGTCTGCAAGATAGCCCACCTATCATCTGTTGGCTGGCCATTCTTCAGTCTTTTGAAGCATGCATGATTCATCCACGTCATCGTTTTCACTTCCATTCATGTCAATAGAGAGGCCGCGCCTGGGAAGCATTACTATCTTTCCTAAATGTAGGCTGCCTATTGAAGTAGGTTGCCACTCACGAAGGCAGGCAAATGGCAGCATTGGATCAGATAGGAAGAGGTAAGTAAAGTGAAAACTATAACAGATGGGTAAAAAAAAAAAATATTTGCAGATTTAACATAGCTAGGGGAATATATAAAATAGTTACTGGTTCCCTTTGTGGTGGTACAACAGAATGCTGTGCTCAGTGTTTGGGATTATGAACTAGAATGTATGTTTATGCTGCAAGAATGTTGTGCTCTCTCAGAGTGTGAGATTTGTGGTAGAATGTTGTGCTCTTAGTTTGTGAGATTATGAAGAGAATGCACAGTTATGCTGGTAGAATGTTAGACTCAGAGTGAGATTATGAAGAGAATGCACAGTTATGCTGGTAGAATGTTAGACTCAGAGTGAGATTATGAATAGAATGCACAGTTATGCTGGTAGAATGTTAGACTCTCAGTGAGATTATGAATAGAATGCACAGTTATGCTGTTAGAATGTAAGACTCTCAGAGTGAGATTATGAATAGAATGCACAGTTATGCTGGTAGAATGTAAGACTCTCAGAGTGAGATTATGAATAGAATGCACAGTTATGCTGGTAGAATGTTAGACTCTCAGAGTGAGATTATGAAGAGAATGCACAGTTATGCTGGTAGAATGTTAGACTCTCAGAGTGAGATTATGAAGAGAATGCACAGTTATGCTGGTAGAATGTTAGACTCAGAGTGAGATTATGAATAGAATGCACAGTTATGCTGGTAGAATGTAAGACTCTCAGAGTGAGATTATGAAAAGAATGCACAGTTATGCTGGTAGAATGTTAGACTCTCAGAGTGAAATTATGAATAGAATGCACTGTTATACTGATAGAATGTTCTGCTCTCTGTGTCAATGTCTGGGTACTTTATCTTTGTAGAATGTTGTTTGTAAGGAGACGGGTGTGCATTCAACTACAATAAATGTACATCTGAGCATAGTTTTACATTCAGAACGTCCATTTTTTTTTTTACAGGGATGAGAGTACATCTGCTTTTTGATTTACTGTGTGCCATTTTACTGTTATAAGTGCACTTCTGCTCATACGGGTTTAAGGCTGCAGAATCCAGACATTGTTCACACCATTTAAAAATGTCATGATTTTGCAATTCTGACCCCAAACAAAATCCGGACTGAATGCATTAATTCTGGAATTTGATTCTTCAGACCCAGACCTGGATTTAAAAAGATCTGAAACATTTGCCCCCAGTCAGCGCTAGTGGCCAGCAGGAAAATAGTTGAAAACCCACAAAGGTTAGTTATGTGTTGACTGGCCAGCACTTGCAAATTAAAATCCATTATAACTGATTAAACTGCTGCACATTTAAAAATAACCTGATTAATTAAAAAAAGAAAAGTAAAATTAACAAAAAATAAAACCTCCGTCCTGTGAGCCCTCTTCGCAGACTGAGCTCTTATAAAGGCTTTTCCACACTCTGTTAGGTATTACATTGCATGGGAAAAGTTCCCACACAATGGAATATCAAAAAGAGAGCTCTGATATTGGATAGATGGCTGTCCGAGCACTCAGATACTCGGCTGTCGGAGCACTCCGATACTTGGCTGTCCGAGTACTCCGATACTCGGCTGTCCGAGCACTCCGATACTTGGCTGTCCGAGTACTCCGATACTCGGCTGTCCGAGCACTCCGATACTCGGCTGTTCGAGCACTCCGATACTCGGCTGTCCGAGCACTCCGATACTCGGCTGTCCGAGCACTCCGATACTCGGCTGTCCGAGCACTCCGATACTGACCAAGCACTGACCAGCTGCCACATAATTAACCCTGGCGCCACTAAGGGTTACCTAACTATTTGGCTGCCGGCGGGAAAGCAGTTCTTCAAATTATCAATTCACTTGCAAAAATGTAAGTAAACGATAATTTGTAAATGTACATCCTACTGGATGCACCTGGCTCAGAATTTTATTTGAACCAGTGCTTTGTGAATCTTCCAAATCCCATACTTTGTATCTGGGCGATTGCTTCAAATCTGGTTGGTCCGACCAAATTCCGACTGTACCTGGCTTTAGAAAATGTGCAAACTGCCATTGCGGTCAGAACTCGCCCATTTTCACAGGATTTTGTCCACCCTGATAGATTTAGAGAAGGTATACAATTCAAAAGTGATGAGTGTATATATTCTACAGACTTTGAAAAAAAAATTCTACTTGTCCAAGGGACTAAAATGGAAGTTCAATCTACATGTCTGTAATTACAATCGGCTTGTCAAGATACAAAATAATTTAAATCAGAAAGTTTGGGGACCCAGCAAAGATCTGGCTAATGACAGAGTTATTCAATTATCGGAATTTTCCCACATTACGTTCAAATAGAAAAACGGAGACACAAATGTGGAAATGTGGAAACATTCTCCAGCTCCAACAGCTATACTGGCTTTTTTTTGTTCAGTTTTGACAATAAACTGCGCCTGCTGATGAAATGTGTGCATGGTGTGTCTGCTGGATGTATGTAATATTTTTGCTGGCTGTTTGTAATGTGTGCTGGCTGTATGTAATGTGTGTGTTGGTTGTATTTAGTGTGTATGCTGGCTGTTTGTAATGTGTGTGGTATGTGCTACACGGTTCAGCAGTGCCCGACTGCAAGGAGTTATTACTGTGGTCTGCACATGGCGAAGCTAAAGGCCAAAAATAACCTGCCTGCCCAGCGCTAGTAGTTGCATGTTCCCTGCATTGGGTGAGAAATTACACACCAATGGACCTAACATTGAAAATGTTTATCATTATACTGTTTTGTGTAATGCTACTTAGACTTACACTGTGAATGTACACCATTCCACTGTCATGAGAATCCACTGAGAGAGCACAACATTCTACTCTAATGAACATTCTACTCTCAGTCTCACACTGAGAGAGCACATCATCCTGCTCTAATGAACATTCTACTCTCAGTCTCACACCGAGAGAACACATCATCCTGCTCTAATGAACATTTTACTCACAGTCTTACACTGAGAGAGCACAACATTCTACTCTAATGAACATTCTACTCAGTCTCACACTGAGAGAGCACATCATCCTGCTCTAATGAACATTCTACTCTCAGTCTCACACCGAGAGAACACATCATCCTGCTCTAATGAACATTTTACTCACAGTCTTACACTGAGAGAGCACAACATTCTACTCTAATGAACATTCTACTCTGTCTCACACTGAGAGAGCACATGACAATGCTCTAATGAGCATTCTACTCTCAGTGTCACACCGAGAGAGCACAACATTCTCTCTAATAAACATTCTATTCACAGTCTCACACTGTGAGAGCACAACATTCTACTCTAATGAGCATTCTACTCTTAGTCTCACACTGAGAGAGCACAACATTCTCTCTAATAAACATTCTACTCAAAGTCTTACACTGAGAGAGCACAACATTCTACTCTAATGAGCATTCTACTCTCAGTCTCACACTGAGAGAGCACAACATTCTACTCTAATGAGCATTCTATTCTCAGTCTCACACTGAGAGAGCACAACATTCTCTCTAATAAACATTCCACTCACAGTCTTACACTGAGAGAGCACATCATCCTACTCTAATAAACATTCTACTCACAGTCTTACACTGAGAGAACACATCACCCTGCTCTAATGAACATTTTACTAACAGTCTTACACTGAGAGAGCACAACATTTTACTCCAATGAACATTCTACTCACAGTCCTACACTGAGAGAGCACATCATCAGGCTATAATGAACATTCTACTCAGTCTCACACTGGGTGAGCACATCATCCTACTCTAATGAACATTCTACTCACAGTCTCACACTGAGAGAGCACAACATTCTACTCTAATGAACATTCTACTCACAGTCTCACACTGAGAGAGCACATCATCCTACTCTAATGAACATTCTACTCTCAGTCTCACACCGAGAGAACACATCATCCTACTCTAATGAACATTCTACTCACAGTCTTACACTGAGAGAGCACATCATCCTGCTCTAATGAACATTCTACTCTCAGTCTCACACCGGGAGAGCACAGCATTCTCTCTAATAAAAATTCTACTCAGTCTCACACCGAGAGAGCACAACATTCTCTCTAATAAACATTCTACTCTCAGTCTTACACTGAGAGAGCACATCATCCTGCTCTAATGAACATTCTACTCACAGTCTCACACTGGGAGAGCACAACATTCTACTCTAATAAACATTCTACTCACAGTCTTACACTGAGAGAGCACAACATTCTCTCTAATAAACATTCTACTCACAGTCTTACACTGAGAGAGCACAGCATTCTACTCTAATGAACATTCTACTCAGTCTTACACTGAGGAATCATTCTACCAGGATCATCTGATGGCAAAATAAACATGCAAAACATAAAAGAAGACACCAAAGTCACTTTCTTCCGCTGTTGTCTGCATTTGTCTTTAACCACTATTTGCTTTTCTTTTGTCCCAACAGTGTTTTGTGTTCTCTGATATCACCATGTAAGCGCCATTTTACTATGTACCAATCAAGTTTAATGAGTTCATTAGTGCGCCTCGGTACTGGAATATTGATTGCATTTCAGATACTCCCGTAGTTTAAATTCTTACAGTTTATTATTAGTATTATTTTATTATTTGGCATATATATAGCGCCAACTTATTCCGCTACACCAGATTTGGCAATAGTGGAAGCTGAAAGGGCAGTTTTATAGTTTTTATATTTTTACAGAAGATTTAGGTCTCTCCAATACATATATATATATACACGCTTGCACATGAGGACACACAGCCAAGCTGTTTATATGCTCAGCTTGAGGAGAATGTGACCCAGTTACCTGTATCCATACTTTGGTGGCAGTGTTATCACTCTTTATGGGCACAGTCAGAGTCTCTTATATCTAGAACACACGTAAGCACAGCAGCAACACAAATACTTAGAAAACCGAAATAATTAAGGAATATGAATTGGCCAGTCCATTGCCTTTTAGAGGTTATCTGTTTTCTGTACATTACTGCAACCCCCCAGCGGTTGTTCTTCATTGTAGTCCCTCTAGCATTCTGTATACCATCGCCTTGCACCCCCGGCTTTTTACATACTGTCATTGCCTTTTCTCCTTTACTCTATTTAGCCTCATCTGGGATTGTAGGCAGAGTTTAGCCAAATCAGTGGTGGGTAACCTAATTTAATCAGAGAGCTACGGGCATGTCCCTACAGTACCATCAAGGACCCTACATGTAACACAGGCCAAACCAACTGAATGTTTAAAGAAAATGTAGAATATCATTGTAACATTATAAAAAAAGCTGAAAAATCTGAAGAAGAGGAACCCCCCCCATCTCACATACACATCAGGGGTGCAGGAGAGGTACATTGTACGTTAGCTGAAATTTTGTGTTAAGTCTCAACCCTTCACCTTTTTTGTATTTTAACAATAGGCTTCTATTAGCATGAGGATTATTTGTGATATTTTGTCCAAATTACCCACCGATCCTCAGCAGGAAAAGCATTCTCCTGCCTTGTGCTTCTGAAAAATGTATAAAGGTCGTTTTTCAAATGGTTGGATTAAGGTAATTTTAAAATTACATCTTCTTTGTTAAATTTTTATTATTATATATATAGAGATATATAAAAACAACAGTATTACCATTTGGCTTCCTCCTTGGTATGAGGGTATATTTTACCAGCATGTTGACCCCATTATTTCATACTCACAATGTAATGAGCTCTGTGTACAAGAGTGCGGCCGGCCGGCCCTGGAAATGGATTAATTAACCCTTCCTTTGCCATAAAGACCTGTTATGAAGTGCAGCGTACTTTGTGAGATTGTGTAGGAAGGTAATAGGAAGGGGGAACAAATCCCTGTGTGCTATTAACTCAGCAGTGTGTTTCCATTCGGTGGTACGTTTATATATATATATAGACATATTTATAAAACAGAACCTACCCGCTTTATTGCAAGTAATTATATGGATCGGCAGAAATGTGATACAGCAGGATATTCTCTTTGGAAGGGATGTGGCAGCTTATTTAATTGGTATGAAAAGACAGCTAGAAGACAAAATCAGTTACCTCCTAGTCTGTGCAATCTGTATACTGGGAAATGTAGTCCATAACAACTGGAGTGCCAACCATCAACAATATATGGTTCTTTATCGAAGAATTCTTTATTAAAAATAGTGTACCATAAAAAGTTTAAGCATGTGGGCTCGGTGACCTCTAACCAGTAAACGTCTAGCATCTAGTTGGCTGAGTGTGATTTGATTGGGATGCATGCAGGGACCAACACCTCTTTTAAATCATTGTTAACCGAAAAGACTTGGAATGAACACCTCTCAAGTGTCCCTATTTGAGAGGGGCAGTACCTATTCTGAGCCCAAATCCACCTGTCCCTCTTTTCTAGGAGCTCCATATTGTTGGTGTGTCTGAGTGTATAACAGAGCTCCACAGCAATAATACTCCCAGTAATGTGTCTGAGTGTATAACAGAGCTCCACAGCAATAATACTCCCAGTAATGTGTCTGAGTGTATAACAGGGCTCCACAGCAATAATACTCCATGTAATGTGTCTGAATATATAACAGAGCTCCACAGCAATAATACTCAAAGTAACGTGTCTGAGTGTATAACAGAGCTCCACAGCAATAATACTCAGAATAACGTGTCTGAGTGTATAACAGAGCTCCACAGCAATAATACTCCCAGTAATGTGTTTGAGTGTATAACAGAGCTCCACAGTAATAATACTCCCAGTAATGTGTCTGAGTGTATAACAGAGCTCCACAGCAATAATAGTCCCAGTAATGTGTTTGCGTTTATAATAGAGCTCCACGGCAATAATTCTCACAGTAATGTGTCTGAGTTTATAACAGAGCTCCACAGTAATAAAGCACTGCGGAATTTGATGGCACTTTATAAATAACATAATAATAATACTCACAGTAACGTGTCTGAGTGTATAACAGAGCTCCACAGCAATAATACTCACAGTAATGTGTCTGAGTGTATAACAGGGCTCCACAGCAATAATACTCCCTGTAATGTGTCTGAGTATATAACAGAGCTCCACAGCAATAATACTCAAAGTAACGTGTCTGAGTGTATTACAGAGCTCCACAGCAATAATACTCACAGTAACGTGTCTGAGTGTATAACAGAGCTCCACAGCAATAATACTCCCAGTAATGTGTCTGAGTGTATAACAGGGCTCCACAGCAATAATACTCCCAGTAACGTGTCTGAGTGTATAACAGAGCTCCACAGCAATAATACTCCCAGTAATGTATCTGAGTGTATAACAGAACTCCACAGCAATAATACTCCCAGTAATGTGTCTTTAAACGACAATAAATCTGTTTAGAAATAAGTCTGTGTCAATAACATAAACTGTTATTGTTCTAAATCACATTTGAATTTTATAAATTATTATTAGTAAGTCCCTTAATATTTCTCAGAACAGCCCTCCCCTGGCCACCCACCACCCCATCCCCCACCCCCTAAATAAAAGCCTGTGTGAAATGTTAGGAGGTATATGAATGGGTAGAGTGGGGAGTATTTATACTAATAGAGGTGGTAATGAAGCGAACATTAAATTAATGGCTCAGGGACCTCCAGCTCGAGTCAGGAAGCTGAAGAATCCATGAATTCCAATAGGGTTTAAAGAACAAATGATTAGGTTCAATATTATGGTCCGGGCAGCCATTGAATGTTTATAATTTGTAACAGGTCGGTGCTAGATGTCCATAGTGTCTGTAGCAAGGGGGGCAGGATACAAGTAGGGAAATGCAAGGAGGATCTAAAGTACAAACAGGTGTTACTGCGAGACGCTGAGCATGACGTACGCACCTTAACATGCCAGAATGCTGCCCACCTGCAGGAGCACGCACTCACACTTGGAAGCAGTGTTGATGCCATGGAGCTGGTCCTGGGGTATTGCCGTGTAGCCAATCAAGTCAGTGTTTTTGTTTTGCGTTCTAATATACTTACCATTACTTTGCACACCTGGAGAACAGGTTTTCAGTATGCGACACATTTAACCCAAGAATAAATTATCACCACTTCAATAATAAGAATTTCTTAAGGTAAATGTATTTTCCTGTAAATAGTGAATAATCTATTAAGTGTACGTTAGTAACCGGTGTCTGCAATGTTTGCTGTTTCATTTAGTATTGAGCAAAGCATGCTTTCAGATTTTAGGCGAACAAATCGCCCTGTACCTTTACAAATGGAGGTATCGTTTTCATCATTATTCCTAATAGGAATCAGTACATACACAGCCAAAGAAATAATTAGCTAGTAACCAAGAACATAATGCCTGCCATTAAATGCCAATGTCTCTCTTACAATGCAGTACTGGACCTTTAACACCTGGGGGCAATGTCTGACATGGACATCATTGTCTTCTGACAAATCTCTCAGCACCTGAACACTTGTCAGGTTAACAGGTTCCTTGGAGGGTTCTGGGACACCAGGTGTGAATCCTGACTGTCTCTGCGCCTTGTAGCTGGCATCGCCCCAGCTCTGGAAGGAATAGTGGCACTCTCTATAGGACAGAGCTACAGGCACTGAGTAGGGCAGATGTGTTCCAGCTGATTTCACACAGCAGTGACTCCCATCGCAGTTTTAATATTTCAGAGGAAGGAGAAGCAAGGCTGGTAATCACATCAATCAAGCACAGATTAAACAGCAGTAACACGCACGCTCTTCGCTGCCTCCCAAAGGATTCTTATACAATATACAACAGTGTTTGGTAAATATGGATACTGTATACCTCTGTGCAGTCTTTTATCATTCACAGCTACTCCTTATGTCAAAGCATACCCTGATCCGACTTGTACGATTTTAAAGGATTTGTGAGATTATGTTTAGTTACACCCCATATTTAACAAATATGTATTTCTGAGATGTGAAAAACTAAATTTAAATGTTTACATCTACACCTCTCTTCCCTGCAAATGGCCGCCTCCATTTTGGCTCCCTCTCTCATTGTTATAAATTCTGTCCTGTGCATAGAGAGAGCAGACAGAGAAAATGAGAAACAAAACAGTTTTTTAACTTCTTAATTGCAGTGTCTCCCCTGACTGTTTCTGAACCAAACTAAATTGTGATATTGATAGTTATATCTTTAATATAAACCAAAATAAAATACAGAGCATCACAAGAAAAAAAAAAAAAAAAAGGTTTTGAGGAGGGTGGATCTGTCTGGACAGATAGGGAAGCACACATTTTCATTTTGCATCTCTCCCAAAATGATACATGCATCTCATAACCAGAGCCCAAGCATGCATTTCTCGACCAAATCTAAATTGAAGCATGGACGTCCCCAAAGGAACCAACTCTGTTAATAATATTTTTTCATTCTTTGTTGGATTTGTCTTGAAGATTTATAACGCGAGGTTAGCTAGGTCTTAAATGTTGTCAGTCGTCTTGCAGACAACTTGCAACTTTGTTATTATTATCATTATTACATTCTGTCTTGTCCTCTGTGTAAACGTTTACACTTTGAACCTTCATACTTAATATTCCTCAGTTCTTCGTAGTTTTGCTACAAATTAGAGTGATCTCGCTTTACCGGTAAATGCAACACTTCACAATGATATATGCTCAGTGCTCATCTTGTCCCAAAACGGAGACACTGCTAGATACAATGCAGTCCTCATTGCAAATTGTCACTCGTCCCACAAGGATCATTTTATCATGCCTTGCTTCACAAGCACTCATTAGCTCTAAACCCTTTTAAAAACGTTTTTGTTTTGTTTTTCTCTTTCCCTAGTGAATTTCTTATCCGTTCTTCCAAACCATTAACCTTTTCAGGGCTATTAGAGATGGTTTGCAGATCCTTACAATATTTCAACCAAAACCACGAACACTAGAAGTTAAATTTCCCTATCTTGTGAACTTTCTTTCAGCCACCATTAACTCAAAGTGGAATCGTGAAAAGTGTTTTATCAGTTATGGAACCAGCTGTATCATTGTCAATTAGTTCAATTTATCAGATCTCCCAAGCAATCCAACATTAGAAGAGTAAAAAAAATAAAAATGATTGTCTGCATGAAACAATATAAAACTATCTGTAGATAAGACGCTTATGTGGTTGATAAAGGGTTGAGATAATAGGATCCACTACAGCCACACTTGGGGGATGTCTTTTGGGATTGCCTGGCACAAATGGGAACGCATCACAAAGACAGTCGTGTACCCTTATAAATATTTGATTCTGTATTGTGTATGATTCAGATATTTTGGATAGCATACGGGGGTGGAAAGAAAAAAAAAAACGTCAGCAATTCAGACATGCCTCTGGCTGTAAGTATCATCTAAACACTGAAAACAAATGGAACATTCTTTCAAATCGCTACAGCAAACATGGCAATATACAGTCATTCCATATCGCAAGACGGAATGGAAAAGGAGCAAGAGAGGTTTTAGAACAAGAGCATTAACTTTACGTGTATTTCTGTATTCATAAAATACATGTTAAATAAAACTTGTGATTAAAGTAACACTATTGGGGAAATGTACGTTTTGTTAGCCCCTTGTCTTTGTTGTTTAGATTGCAGGATAAAACTTACCAGGAAAGGTTAAAGGATCTTAACATGTATAGGTTGGAGGAAAGACGAGACAGGAAAGACGAGACATAGAAACATTTTAATATATAAAGGGAATCAACACAGTAAAGGAGGAGACTATATTTAAAAGAAGAAAAACTACCACAACAAGAGGACATAGTCTTAAATTAGAGGGACAAAGGTTTAAAAATAATATCAGGAAGTATTACTTTACTGAGAGGGTAGTGGATGCATGGAATAGCCTTCCAGCTGAAGTGGTAAACTATTGGACAGACTAGTCTGCTTCCTCTGAGGTCATCATGCTTGATGACCATTTTGTCCAATCAACTGCTTCTCTTTGGGAAGCATTGTAAACGTAATGCGCATCTGCAGAGCGCACTATGATGTCCATTTAATAACAGAAGCTGGGTTCTTACTGTGGAAGCATCGTCTAGTGGCTCTCAGGGAGACTGCTTCTAGAGGGGAATTTACCCCACGATGAAAACATTGCCATATCTCCAAAATGAGAAAAATGGCAGGTCCACTGCATGCAGTCCACTTCATTGGTCTGGGTGATCTCTAACATACTTTAATAAACTTTAATTGTGGAAAAGGGCATTTAATGCTGAAGCTGTTATATAATTAATTTACCAAGTAACTTGTAAAGTAATTTTCCAGGAAGAATAAACTGAGATCTCTCTTGTATTCAAGGATTTCAAGGGAGCACGTACAAACACAGTATTACTCTGAACAATTATAAATACATTGTTATGCATATAATAGACATGTTCAATTCAATTATAAACTAACAATTAGCTCAGTTATGTGCCATTATATAAAAAACAAAACAAGTAAAATTCACATCTTGTGATCCTCCGTCTCTTCGTCTGCAAGAAGAATAACGTGGAGAAAGTGGGAAGCTAGGAAACACACCATGCTGCTTGTATTGTTCCCCAGAATGTCTTGCTGCTCCTGAGACCTGGAATGGGTGAATGGGAAGCAGTTCGAAGACCAGTGTGCAGTTAGTGCATTGCTAGCTGGTATACATGGATTGATTGGCTGAGTGCTCTTAGTCAATCCTGGTCTCATTAAAACATCACTGCAGAAGCCTGAGATCAAGAGAATTTACAAGAAACAAAGGACTGATAACAATTTTTTGTTTATTTCCATATTCTAAAATGGTTTAACTACTTACGTGGCACCATAACCACTGCAGTGTATTTGGAGTGTTCCTTTAAGTGAGCAGGTCTTTCCATTTCGGAATGCAATTCTTAAAAAACAGATTGTTATAACCGTATTGACCAGGCATCTCAAACTTTGGCCTCCAAATGTTGCTGAACTCCGTCCCCTATGAGTCTCTGACTATGATTGCAATCAAAGCGTTCTGAGAGTTGTGGGCCAATAATATCTGGAAAGCCAGAGTCTGAGATCCCATGTGTGAACCATCACTAATTCTTAAAGGGTTAATATCAAGTCTGATGTCACATCCACATCCTAAATAGATGTAAACAGGGCATTTCATGCAAATAACTTTGTCCCATTAGCCACTGGTACCATAAAAGAGGCAGACTCAGCGTTGGATAAAAGGTAAGTCATTTTTTTTTTATTTTTGTACAGATGGGGAGGGGATGAGGGCACCAGGCCTGTAGCTATAGGAGTACAGATATGTATTCCCAATGCTGCAATGTTCCTTTAAATCTTCCGTTGTGATCCCTGATTTGAGTTACCCATGAATATCCCAGAGAAATGTCATTCCTTCCAGGATGAAAAGATTGCTTTACGGCAGATTAGGTTTAATGTCTTTGGGTTTTACTCAATTAGCTTCTTCCTTTCATTCTTCTGGTCTGTAATAATATTTATTGTTGTATAATAGAGCACCCTTCCATGCACAGAGTCTAGTCCGCGCTCTGTCTAAACCATGCAATTGCTGGTCGTAATCCACTGTGGGCTGTCTTCCTGTAACTCTGTAACTAATAACCACAGAAGTCACCAAGTACAAAAACAGTGCCTAATTGTAAAAATCTCACCCATTACACTGGTCTGCTTTAATTTGCTATTACAATGGTAACAATTTAAAGTATTGGGTTTTTGCGCTAGATATAAGAGATTCATTTATCACAGACTTTCTTGGCTGTCAAACCAGGCCAGGAAAACTCCATCAAATTTATCAATACGTATGTAATTGTATTTTATGATTTGGGAGGGGTGAAGAGTTGTGTTGAAATGAAATTAAGTATTTTTTTTGGTACTGAACACATTCTTGTTTTATAGGATTAATAAATTTCTAGATGTGGCTTTTTATAGTGGTATATTTTCGACTTACTAAATTATCTGTGTATTGATTATAGAGAGATAATAATTCTCTGCATGAAGTTTGATAACATATGTGATTTTTTTGTTAATATGGTTTAAAACAATTCCCTTGATCCTTAGGTATTTTAGCAATGTACCAAACGGCCTCTGGATTTATTGGGATGAGCTCTGAATCTGAGCCTCACTAAATCAGACCGAATGGCCCTTAAAGTAACACCGTAGGCTCCAATTTAACCTTATTGAAGTTATTAAAGTGCTTTAAGTGCTGCCCCCTCTCCTATATCCCAAAAGTTTTTATTTTACCAATAAGAAGGCTTGGAAATGTTGCTCCACGGCATGCATCCAATCCCTCTGGGTATGAAATCCAGGAATCTTACTTCCTGTCTCTCATACCGTAACATACCTTGACATCATGTGCACATGTGCAGTGCCCTAACAGTCTGCCATAGAGATTAATTGTATTCAATGAATCTCTATGGCAGACTCTTGGGTGCATGGTTGCGTGCACCGTACTGAGCCTCCTCTATGAGGAGTATTAAATTGGACCTTGGATGACATCACTCAAGGAGAGGTTGCCGCAGCGCTGAGGGAAACTCAGTGCTGGAGAAAATTTAAGTTTTTATTTTTTTTATTTTAATTGATGAATTGATCTGGCTAGGGGTAAAAAGAGACACGCAGAGGGCTTTGGGAGGACGAAGAAATACAAAAAGGGACTGGGGGACAAGAGAGACACAAAGGGGCCATGGGAGGAAGACACACACAGAGGGGATGAGGTTGGAGAAAAAGAGACACACAAAGGAGTTGGGGAAGAAAGGGACACACGAAGTTGGCAATTTTCAGATTTATTTGGGGAAGTGGGTGCAAGTAACTGGTCTTGCCTAGGGCGCAAAGTAGTCTTGTACCAGCCCTATTTGTCAGAACTTTGGCATGGACTTTTCTCAGTGTTGGAAGTGGCTTGGAAGTGGATATCAGATAAGCTCTGGGACACCCAACAGTGCTTTTTACAGAGCACTTTGAAATTGACATGCATGAGAGTCCTACCGAATCTGGAGGTGCTGAGAGTTGTACCATAAAGTCTGTAAATAATTTTGTACTAAGACAGAACAGGAGTGTTTTGTTTAGAACTGCACATAAATAAGAAAAGATCGTGATATGGGACTAACCTTAGCAAAAGGCCCCATTTGTCTTCTGCTACACAGGCAGAGCAGGCCTCACACCTTGCATGCAGATGCCTTTAAGGTCGAAATGCGCCTGCTGCGGAAGGAATAAAAAAATAACTCCTGAACATATCTGCAGTCTGTCCTATTAATCTTCACGGTGGGAAAAAAATAGAAGTGCAGTTATAACTCAGTAAGGAAATAGGCTGTGATTATATCAGTTGCTAATTAATCAGAAGTGGTGAAGAGAATTTTTGGATGTAGAGAAATGATTAGCAGGAGATGAAGGGAGATACTTGGTTCTGACCCAGACTATATCTCATTCATTCAATAAGCTGTCATGTATTCCCTACGCCTCTCCAGCTTGCTTTCCCTCATTGTGCATCTGATTGGTCTTTTAATCAGTTTTGTTTCCCTAATAGTTGCAAGATCAGGACGACGCTGGATAAACTGTTTTCCTTTAATCCTTTATTTTTTTAAAATCTTATTATCCTAAGGGAAATGTCACCAGCAATTGGTTCTCGAGTCATTTTATCCAGAACATATTGTGTGTTCGCACACTTAGTCAAGAGTAAAAAGTGTTAGAGATCCAGAGAAGCAGAATGAAGTATGGGCACAGAAAATAAAACAAAACAAAGAAAATGCAGATACGTAGTCAAAATCCTCCATTTCCCTCTGCTGCAGTCAGAGAGATGTTGGGTTGGAAGCTCTTCTAATTCTCAGAGAGCAAATCACTACGGGACTGCCTGTTCCTACAGCGTCCCATAATCCTACAGCGTTTCCAGGTTCATGCACATGATGCCTACACTCTTGTGCTCCCCAGTTTTTTGTTTGTTTTTTTATGTGCCTTAAGGCCGGATCAGTTAAACTGTCAGATGGTGCTTGAATAGGAAGGCGACCGATTTAAATGCACCGTGTGGACCTTGGCTAAAATGTGACAAACAATTGTATACAATGTTAACTAGGATCAGGGTGACATAACTTGCCAGTAATGGTGAGTTAATGATCCCCTCATTTATAAAGATCCCCACTATGTTAGTCAATAGCAATGTTAAATCCTCAGCATAAAAAATGTTAATACGTCCAATCCCCTCATGTTAACAGCAGAAATAATATATTCTTGTGTAAAAACGTCAGATTAGAACACTGACTGCATAGAGAAACCTTTGAGTGGCATAGTGCTACAATCAGTTCTATGTATTCTCCATTGGTGGGCTAGTATGGATTTTCCATCATTTTGTATATGAACATATCTCATTTTCCTTTCACT